CAGAAAAAATAATTCAAACCATTTTAACTCTGCCCTGGGAGTTGGAAGAAGAATTATGACGTCTCGTGATGAAAGCCGAGTTCACTCGGAAGTCACGGGGCTGATGCCTCTTCTGACAACCAGAGCAACCATTCTTTTAGGCACATGGAACGTTCGTACATTGTGGGAAAATGGAAGACTATTTCAAGTTGCGGCAGAAATGAAACGATACAACCTCGAGGTGCTCGGCATCAGTGAAACGCATTGGACACAAGTAGGACAACTGAGACTAGCTTCAGAGGAACTGCTGTTATACTCTGGTCATGAAGAGGAAAACGCTTCACATACACAAGGAGTTGCAATGATGCTGTCCAAACATGCACAAAAGGCACTGATAGGATGGGAATCTCATGGACCAAGGATCATTAAAGCATCCTTCAAAACAAAGAAACAGGACATTACAATGAACGTCATCCAATGTTATGCACCTACCAATGACTACAATGACGACAATAAAGATCAATTCTACGAAAGGCTGCAGTCAATCGTCGAAAAATGTTCACCAAAGGATTTGACGATTCTTATGGGAGACCTGAATGCCAAGGTTGGCATGGACAACACTGGATATGAAGACATCATGGGACGACATGGACTGGGAGAAAGGAACGAAAACGGTGAGAGATTTGCAAACCTATGTGCCTTCAACAAACTGGTCATCGGTGGCACAATATTCCCGCACAAACGCATTCACAAAGCCACATGGATTTCACCGGACCACACTACTCAAAACCAAATTGACCATGTCTGTATCAACAAAAAGTTCAGAAGGACCATGGAGGATGTGAGAACCAAGAGAGGAGCTGATATAGCTTCAGATCACCACTTGCTGATCGCCAAAATGAGATTGAAGCTAAAGAAGCACTGGACAACGGGGCAGACAACATCACAGAAGTTTAATACAGCCTTTCTTCGGGATACCGTAAAACTCAACGAATTCAAGATAGCCCTCACCAATAGGTTCCAGGCCTTTCAGGATCTACTCAATGCAGAGGAAGCAACATTGGAGAACAATTGGAAAGGGATTAAGGAGGCAATCACTTCAACATGTCAGGAGGTCCTTGGTCGCAAGAAGCACCATCACAAGGAATGGATCTCTGTTGGTACTCTTGAAAAAATTGAAGAAAGGAGGAACAAGAAGGCAGCAGTGAATATCAGCCGAACAAGAGCAGAGAAAGTTAAGGCGCACGCCGAATATACAGAAGCAAACAGGGAAGTGAAGAAGAGCATCAGAGCTGACAAACGAAAATATGTGGAAGATCTAGCAATGACGGCGGAAAAGGCTGCAAGAGAAGGAAACTTGAGACAATTGTACGAAACAACAAAGAAGCTCGCCGGAAACTATCGTAAACCAGAACGACCAGTGAAAAGCAAGGAAGGGAAAATAATCAGCAACACTGACGAACAGCGAAATAGGTGGGTGGAGCACTTTAAGGAACTATTGAATCGACCAGCTCCACTGAACCCACCCAACATCGAAGCAGCATCCAAGGACCTCCCAATTAATATTGGCGCACCTACGATTGAGGAGATCAGTATAGCCATCAGACAAATCAAGAACGGCAAAGCAGCAGGACCAGACAGCATTCCAGCAGAGGCAATGAAAGCAGATGTAGAAGCAACTGCGAAAACATTTCACATCCTCTTTAAGAAGATTTGGGATGAGGAACAAGTACCATCAGATTGGAAAGAAGGATACCTGATCAAAATACCAGAGAAAGGCGATCTCAGCAAGTGTGAGAACTACAGAGGCATCACTCTTCTTTCAATACCAGGCAAAGTCTTCAACAGAGTATTGTTAAACAGAATGAAGGACTTCGTAGACGCCCAACTTCGAGATCAACAGGCCGGATTTCGTAAGGATCGATCATGTACTGACCAAATTGCTACATTACGGATCATTGTGGAACAATCAATTGAATGGAACTCACCACTCTACATCAACTTCATCGACTACGAGAAAGCATTTGATAGCGTGGATAGGAAATAACTGTGGAGGCTTCTTCGACACTACGGTGTGCCTGAGAAAATAGTCAACATCATACGGAATTCTTATGATGGATTCAAATGCAAAATCGTGCACGAAGGTCAGCTGACAGACTCTTTTGAGGTGAAGACCGGTGTCAGGCAAGGTTGCTTACTCTCACCCTTTCTCTTTCTCCTGGTCATCGACTGGATTATGAAGACATCGACATCTGGTGTGAAGCACAGTATTCAGTGGATAGCTAGAATGCAGCTAGACGATCTGGATTTCGCAGATGATTTGGCTCTTCTATCGCACACTCAACAACAAATGCAAGAGAAGACGACCAGTGTAGCAGCAGCCTCTGCAGCAGTAGGTCTCAACATACATAAAGGAAAAAGCGAAATTCTCCGATGCAACACAACATGCACCAACCGAATCACGTTTGATGGAGATACCTTGGAGGACGTTAACACCTTCACATATCTTGGCAGCATCATCGACGAGAAATGTGGATCGGATGCAGATGTGAGGGCGCGGATTGGCAAAGCAAGGGCTGCATTTCTACAGTTGAAAAATATCTGGAACTCCAAACTACTTTCAAACAAAACCAAAATCAGGATTTTCAATACAAATGTCAAGACAGTGCTACTGTATGGAGCGGAAACATGGAGAACTACCAAAGCCATCATTCAGAAGATACAAGTGTTTATTAACAGTTGTCTACGCAAAATACTTCGTATTCGTTGGCCAGACACCATCAGCAACAACGAACTGTGGGAGAGAACAAGTCAGATTCCAGTGGAGGAGGAAATCAGGAAGAAGCGGTGGAAGTGGATAGGACATACACTACGAAAAGCACCCAACTGCGTCACTAATCAAGCCCTCACATGGAACCCTCAAGGCAAAAGGAAAAGTGGAAGGTCAAGGAACACACTACGCCGAGAAATAGAGAAAGATATGGGAGGAATGAACAAACATTGGACAGAATTGGAGAGGGAAGCCCAGGACAGAGTTGGTTGGAGAAAACTGGTGGGCGGCCTATGCTCCATTGGGGGTAACAGGGTATATGTGAATTTCACAAGTCAGTCCTTAGTGGATTTCCATTGATATACATTTTTCGCTTCCTGAAGCTTATTTTGTAGACGTTAGGCAATAGAGACTGATTGAATATGGCTCCTCATATGGACCACAGGAAAACGTCAAAAAATGCGCGTCTGAATTGTATGAGCTTTACAATAATGTCCAGTCAGTCGTATGAGGAATATAGCTTAGAAGGTGTTGTTTGTTGGAAGAGAGACATTTGCTGATCTCTCAAAACTCAAGATGAAGGATGAAACGACATTGCTCTTGCACAAAACATACGATATTACACAGAATCATTTCGTCAAGTACTTGTATAAATATGATTCCGTGAATACCTACTTCTTGTGAACTGAGTATGATCAATGTAGGTTTCAGGGTACTTCACAGGTGAAACTGTAATATCTGATAGTTCGTACTTGTAGTATTTTAAAGAGCGGTAATGTGGGACAGATTGCGCACACTATCGTAGAAGTGATTCACCAAAGTAGTTTAAATTAGATATAGTTCAAATAAATGTAAGCAGAAAATTCAACAAAACATATGACGGCAATACTTCACCCGGTATAAGCTTGTACGGTCACCTATTGGACATTGAACAGTAAGAACATTAGGAAACTGAATCGATGAATCATCAAATGAAACAACTGTACGTAAACAAAAGCACACGACGATTTGAATTCCCCTGAAACTATTCAATATGATAATCATATGAAACAGGAGTGCAGCTTTATTATATTGCTCTTTAGACTACAGAAGCGAAAATACATTTTCTAACTCTTGAAGCAAGACCTCTGATACAATTGTCAGAAGCAACCTACTATGGGAAAGAATAAATCCGTTTTTAGATGACGATGAAAACAAGAAAAATTACTCAAACTTTATGATGAACACATTGCAGAAATCACGGATCTCAGTCACAAATATAGTCGAGCTTAGAATCCTCAACGCGCTATAAAAACAAAAAGAACAAAATTATCTAACTATACTACTGACATACAGTTAGTCAGTATTATAACGATTGAAACGGGTGAATAGAGTAGATAATCAACGATATAGCTTATTAAACTTTATGTTTCATCACGTTCAGTAGTGACTTCACCAGGGTAACTGGTAATTATAACTATTTTACAATTTCTTACTTACTTACGCCCGTTACCCTCAATGGAGCATAGACCGCATAACAGTTTTCTCCATCCTACCCTGTCGTGGGCTTCCTTTTCTAGTTCTTTCCAGTTTTTGTTCATTCTTCTCATGTCTTTCTTTATTTCTCGGCGTAATGTGATCCTTGGCCTTCCTCTTTTTTTTGGGGGGGGGGCAGAGTTATAGAAGTTTGTGTTTACCGAAGGTCCAGGGTTCGAATCCTTCGAGGAGCAGGAGTCGTGCATGCGCACTGCTGATGAGTCCCACACGAGGACGAAACGGCTGTCCAGTGCTTGCTCTTTTCCTTTGACATCGAGGGTTCCATGTGACGGCTTCTCTTGTGATATGCACAAAAAAACTGAGTTATCCAAAAATTTCAAGGAATTTGGTTTGCACTTTCTTTAATAAAAAAATATTTAAAATTACGTATAAATTATTTTCATAAAAAAACCAGACCAAAGTCATTTGTGAATTTATAGTACGATTTAACATTAATTTTATGAAAATGAAATAATTGCCGTTAAATTCCAAAGCATAAAACACTTTTTGTTTCAAATTTGTATTTTCCACTTCTCTGATGACATAATCAGGTCAGTTTGTCGTAATTCGCAATTCATATTGTATTCATTAATATTCACTAGTAGTTACTTGTGAAACTGAATCTTGCAAACTGATATATATATATTCAGACACTATTGCTGGTTTATTTTCAGTCAGAAGGAAAAATCTATTGACAGAAGGCATTCTTTGCATTCTTTACTATACAAAAGCCAATATGTCTATTGAACAGCGATACCTAACCAAAAAGACCGTGATACAATATGGTAATGTTGAACAAATTCAATTTGTTTTATTGAATAATAATATTCATTTATTCATTCATTTTAGTGATAATCTACTTTATCCTCAACTGCTTTCATGGTAAATTAATTGTAATTTTGATTAATTCGTCCGTCAACTTGATAAATTCATAATTTCATCATGTGTAATTTTCATTAATACCCTTTTGGTATACCATTTCAATATTTCTATGCTAGCGAGCGATACAGTCATGTATAGTCATGAATATAATAGCGTGTTGATCATCTTGAAATACATTTTTGTATGTATCAGTAAACCATGACGATTGTAAAACTGAATGAAACTAAGTGTTGAAGTACTACTGTATACACTGTCTGATGAATTACACGTCGATTCACATCGGATACGTGTTTGCATCAATTTGTATCATTAAGAATCTTTGTATGTTAGAAGAGTTTTGAACATGTCAACTTGGCCACTAATAAGTTAGTAGTAATACAAGATGATAGTGTAGATTACAGAGTTACTCAGTAAAATTGGAAAACCATATCGTAAATTGTTCATTTGCAAAATATCAGTTCATCATATCGAACTGGACTGTTCCTGTTGCAAACAACATCAATCCACTGTCACTATTCATGCGTTTCATACAAATTCCATTGTGTTCTTCTAACTCTTCCTTTCTTGATCTTTCCCCATCTTCTGCTGCCAGACATTACGTTGACACTCATGTCATGTACTACTTAAAAGTAGCTCGCACCACAATAGGATTGAGCAGTGACTTCTGTATAGGTATATTTCGGCATACGTTTTTAATTGAGATGAATACAAATATGATTTACACGTATAAATCTTTATATGTCAATGTTATAATGTTTTATATGCATACAATGTATATGACATGATAATTTATTCAAACGTCAATTTTTTTTAACTGACAGAAACAATACTATCTCAAACTACAAATCAAATTGCTAGCAATGTTTCTCATACAATCGATCCATGTGACAATTTTTATCAATATGCATGTCACGATTGGGAAGTAAACAATCCAATCCCAGATGACGAAGAGAGGATTAGTACTTTATCAAAGGCTGACAAAAACATTGATCAATACTTTTATGATTTAATTTGTAAGTATACTTAAACTACACACAGTTGAATTTCGTTCCATCCGTTCATGCCTGTGTATCGATTGATTGTGAATTGATATCATGTGAACAGTTAGACAGAGAACTTTTCATGCAAAGTTGCATTTCATCCTAAGATCTGTCTGTCTATTAGAGTATTCAACAAAATAGAAATAGCATTTAAATCTTACATTCAAGTGCGCGACAAAAGGTCCTGAGGCCATGCATACTCACTGCCGATGATCCCCATAGTAGGATGAAACGGTTTATAATTAAAGGCTAACATTTTTCAGGATAAGATTTAAATTAAATCCGCTGAAATTTACTTTCCTTTATTGACAAAAATTCATTAACTCAGTATTTATCGTGATCTGAAATGTGGTAGATTATCGTTGAAAAATCGAAGACCGCAGCATAGTTATTTCAACAAACGTCGTAGTAGAGTACATCATATCAAATGATTGAAATTCATCACAATTAAAATGCATCATTCTGTAGACTTCTTAAGTCACTTTACATTCATATCTACTATCTGAATATTATCAAACATTCATCTTCAGTTCAGTGTGTGGATAATTGAAATTTTTAGATGTTGTACATTAATTACTTACAAAATATGTCAGCTAGTTCTCACATTTTTCATGTCAACTTGTCGTTCTTCATATTATAATTTTCCAAATTTCACTACTTTTCTACTCAATCATCATCAAAGCTAACAATTCATATGCCTCAAATGATTCTCGATTGTTTGCTGTTCGCCAATATTACAAAGCTTGTATAGATAGTGCATTTGATTCGGACGATCGTATTAAAAACCAATTGTTCCAATTAATTTCAATATCATTTGGCAATTGGGATTGGTTGCCATCATCATTCAACAGAAATTGGGATAATAAAACTGTAGTTTTAAATTTGAATTTAACTGATCTATATCTACCATTGATAAGTACAACCGGACATTCACCTTTATTCTCATTGGAAGTTGTTGATGATAGTCATACAGTTCGAGTAAGTTGATCATAGATATGATGTTTCACGTTCAGTCATACAGATGTTGTGTAAGAGAATCGTATACTTTAAATGGAAACTCCAGACAACTCGAGAAATATATTCATTCTATAAATATTGCCAACCGGTAATGATATGAAGTGCCTAACATGAGAAAAACGATAATTCAGTAGCATAAATGCTTAGACTTCAAAAAAATGCCTAGTTTAAATAAACTGATGGATGTTAAATTATGTGAATAGTTTCGTGGATCACATAGTTTAAATATTGAATTACACAGTTTGTTTAAGCGCCTAATGAGATGATTTAAAAGCAGGTGAATCGATCGACTGTAGTTGTCGAAAATAATTAATTTTCTTAGACCTGAGGTTGTGTTCAGTCAGCCAAATGAAAACATATTGAATAGAAATACAGCTACTAGATATGAAAATCTTTGAAAATACAATTCTACGTGTAACTAACTAGTAGAGATCTCATGAAAAAATGAGAGGATATAGAAGACAACTAGCAAACTCTGAATTGTTTTGAAAGTTAGTGCACATTCCACACACGCCTGAAGTAAGGGAGTTCAGTATGTGCTCAGCAGCACTATCACGTAGAAAACAAGACTGCTAAAAGTAATGTCAACTAGAAACACAGTTATCGTAACTTAAACTGTCCTGTGAGTTGTAGGTCTTGATTCATAAGGAGTTATGACACCTCATTGTGAACACCGTGTTTCTCCTGTAATTGCGAGTGTGATGCCTCTTCATGACAACCAGAGTTTTAACTAACATAAGTGCATGTAATAATTGCACAAGTCAGAATACCGTAAGGATCAAACGAGTTACTGTGGAAACGAGAAACCACAACCTTTAGGTAATAGGAATGTGTGTAACCGATTGAGTTCAAACAAGGCAGATAGCATTACACTCCAAATAAGTTCCTTTGTGTAAAAGAAACTTTATGTTTAGTAAAATATTTAGACTGTTATTGCCCATAGGGTCAAAAATCTCTTACAGAATGTAAATCTCATGATTTCCGAATCAGCAAAGTATCCTTCCAATCAATCTAAGTGATCTTGAAAAATAGCAGATTAGTTTGTGTACGTATAATGGTGTTCAAACAACTTCTAACAAAATTAATTTTTTCAAATACCCTTCCTCCTAAAACATCTATTATTATTCACTTATATGCTAATGTTTTCGGATATATGATATTCCATGTGTCTTGATAATACGATGAGTTGATAAATTATTTTTTTTCCTTAAGTGTATCAGTACTACTAATAATTATCTTCATTATTTCCACTGTGAATTTCAATTCTTATCAGATATATTCAGGTCGATTATCATCAGATCAAAGTTTTCTTAGCAAGGTAATTTGTTGGTTATGTTTAACAATTTCAATATTCAATATTATTTTATAGTATCCTTATAGCATATAGTTGTAGTTTCTATATAGAGAGTAGAAATTTTGTGTACTACTGTTTCAAGATTTCATGTAATTGACCGCTACACCGGAAACATGTGAAAAAAATTAGGGTGATTTCACTTAGTACAGACGAACATTGCAAAATATATGACACAGTGAAAAACTAGTTCACAGTATCAAAATGTCACATCTGTCATCTTATCGTATGAACACCAGATACATAGGCTCTGACAATCCAATACAAAAACCTTCATTCACGTTTACACTGTACTAAACCATAAAACGATTAAATCAACAAATTCAGGACAGAGAAACAAAACAGGGTAATCTAAGTAAAGAGATAGTGATCACGTTTCTTTCGTAATAATCACGACGGGAGCTTCAGAATAGAATCATTCAATTTAGTGTACAATAAAACTACACAAAACAAATTACTTTACATTTGAAGCTACTAATACATTGTTCGCTATGAAAGGTAGAATTAAATTGAAACATTTGATACAATACACAGTGAATCCGATAACATTCTGATTACATTAGATACAATTTGAAAAGAGATTGATTACTGCATGAAATATATCGTCACGCCTTGATTCTTCACATGAATCTAACACTTATTTCATTGTAACGTGCCTACACTCTTAAAAACAGCTCTCAAACTGATAATTATTTAACAAATTTGTGTTTCAATACGGTGAACTTGATTGTTCAATGTTTTTCTCTGTATAACAGAGATGAAATGACTCTAATTTATGTTAATCACAGTAGAACATCCAAATTTGTTCAAAGATAGCTGAGAAATATTAAACCTGCTAGCAATCAGATCAAGTTACCGTAATAATGTGGTGTGAGATACTTATAAGTAGTATATGACGTGAGCGTCAACGTAATGTCTGGCAGCAGAACATGGGGGAAGATCAAGAAAGAAAAGAGTTAGAACACAATGGAATTTGTATGAAACGCATGAATAGTGACAATGGATTGATGTTTTGCAATAGGAACAATCCAGTTCGATATGATGAACTGATATTTTGCAAATTAACAATTTACGATATGGTTTTCCGATTTTACTGAATAACTCTGTAATTTTCGTTAAATACATTTCGGTTGCCCCACCTGTGTTCTCGTTCACTACAATTGAAATATGCAGTAAAAATGTAGTTGAAAAATCAGTATGACAAACCAGTTATGTATTAGATTTGGCTATGAGTAAAGTTCAACAAATTTTAGCCAGTATAATACAATTGATATATAACTTTGTGTCAATGTGAATTGTTTTTTTTCCTATTTCAAAAATAGAGAGGATTTCTTCTTCTGAAATCAATGTTTCATCAGGCAGTAGATTCGCTTAATTTGAATCAATCCAATGATGAAAGTGTGAATGCTACTTTCCAATTATTCGACCACTTAGCTAGGGTAAGTTTCTAGTTATTTATGATTTGTAATCTTTTGATACGTAGAGTTGGACAATACTTGATTGTAGGTTCTTTCATTTCAGAAAAGTTGTAGAAATGTCAGTATTCACATGTTATGAGTACTTTTTAGTTGAAAATTATATGTGTTGATGGTATGAAACAATATGTCAGTTAGTTCAACGGCAATATAAGCACAAATCAAGTGAATAAAGTCTAAAACACTTACAACCAGTCATGTTACATCAAAATTTCGCATGATTTATAGACTATCAAACTATTCATCAGTGAAACAATCAGTAATCTCTACTATCTACCCAAGCTATTAGGTTAAGCATGCTGGCAAACTGAGTCTTTCACATTAAGTCAAATATCGAAGAGGTTTTTCCATTCTGGCTTAAAAGTACAGACTACTTACTCGCTTTTGTTCCTAAAGAACTATCTGACACCTACCATTCATTTCAAGTTGTTTCATTAAGAGAAGTAAAATATGCAATCGCTTATCACTTGCGCCACTTGTAACTTGTCTCTTTGTGCATTAGAATGCAGAATTCCTTGAATATATTTTGCACTGAACGGCTTCATCGGAAACCATGGTTAACTGGATATTTTAGCTCAACATAGTAGTTTTTAGACCCTATGACGTGGAGTTGTGTGTTCTGAAATTGAACCATGCTGACAGTAAGATAGCTGATACTAACTGCCATTAATGATTACTTAACAATCCTTTCATGCTGACATACACTGATCAATATTAGGTGCCTAATTACAAATCAGAATCCTCATTCTCATTTGCTTTGCTTAGTGCTCTATCATTTGTGTCTCTCACTAGATCATTAAATTCCCTCCTTGCTTGTACTTTACTAACTGCTACCCTTGAGGTCAACGTCAGTAACTAGCCTATAATATTTTTATAGTTCTCACTGGCCTCGGTGACATACAAGCAGACCGGACTGCATTACATCGTACAATGAAGAGTAACAAAGATACATGAATGATCCAAAAGTGGTTGTGAGTTGGAGACACCTCAAATAAAAAAAACTGGATAGTAAATAGCAAAGTGCTTGATGAATATTCAACCAATTGCTTATGATATAGTAAAACTCAACCCGATGTATTAAGTGACCTGAATGTTCTAAGTTCAAAACTTCACTAACCAGAACATATGCTCCATTAGGAAACTGAATTCTTCATACTCACTGACCTTAGTTTTACCGCAGGTAATCAATTGAAATTAACCTGTTTAGGATCGGATTCGCTTAGTTGGTTGATATGACAGTAGATACTTGAATAATATGTTCATTAAAACCTAAGATTTACGTTCCGTTTTATTTCTGCTGCTCAATAAGTGACATGATAAATTCGGTTAACATAGCTCATACCTTGACATAATAATGGTAGAGGAGGAAATTAGATTGCCTGGATAAACAAATTTAGTATGGTCATATACTTTTTTCAACCAGCAGTTTTACTGTTGCGTTTTCATGAAAAAATATGTATAAAGATATTCGACGTCAAGAGAACAATTTCACAGACATACGAGACATTGATATTTTCTGTTGTCTATAATAAAAATATTGTAATTTGATTGTTTGAATCTTTTTTTAAACCGTTCCATTCCATAGAATTACTTAGGTATACGATCATTTCCAGCGTCGAAGTCAAAAATATTTGGTAAACTGGATACACTCGAGGCTATATGCCCACAGGTAAATCGATTTTCTGCCTTTTGTTTCAACTGTCAATGAATTAGCAAGAATTGAAAAAACCCCCTTTAAAGCATTCTTGTTAGCTACAAAGAGGAAAGTTGAAATCAGTAGAAGTACAAAGTAATCAAGTGACATTTTTTTTAATGATGACTGAGTCGAGATTGACTATGATCACCACGAAATGTTCCATAATATCCCGTCACTTAAATCAAAATAAATCCATGTTTGAATATTTTATTGAAGAAGCAGCAACGCGAAAGGAATGTTTTTTTTTGGTACAGTTAAACAAAACGAGTACAATCATGTTTATTATTCACAAACCGCGTTTTCTTTGTAGAAGCGTTCCACACTACAACCTAATCAAAATCAATAAGTTTAGTATAGATATGATGAATGCAAATAGTTAGTCACATTTTGTCGTCAAAAATCGCACAACCACCATCGATCAGTTTATTTGGCTAATTAGGTATAAAAAATTGTGCACTGATTAAATCACATAAAGGTCAAATCTTTTAGATAGTAAATGTTAAGTAGGAATTTGTGTTAAATAACTATTCATTAAACTACTCTGGATAAATAAGAATTTGACATATGACCTGTGAACAATTATAATCAATAAACTTATTATTCACTATCTTCAAATAATTTTGAGAGTGTTTAGAAAAAAGTGAGGACAGCATAAACAGAGATATATTTACTTGTATAGTTAGCAATCGTTACAAATACTGTAGACAGACAGACAGACAGATACAACGTAGAACTACGTACGTAAGTACATCAGTTCAGGTTGCCATGCCCAGTTAGCACAGAGACGCAACTGTCATTTCAAATCCAACAGTGATAGCAATAATAGAAGCATTAGAAATATTGTAGAAGATTAGGGAGCGAAGATATGACTTGAGAAGTATAATTCAGTAAGATAAATTAAGAATGATAAAGGTAGAGATTATGAGGAATGCAGAAGCTTAGAATTTCATAGAACACAAAAACTGTATGGACCTGCGCCATTGCAAACGATTCCTACCATCAGTGACTATCGTCTCGCGGACCCAAACCAGGTAGCCTACCTCTATCAACATGACTCACTCCACTTGTCAGTGACTTCATGGATTTCTGCTATGTTTTGGTTTGGCCGCCGTTAGCTTTCTTCCAATCTACTCGTACACCACAAAACATAGCTCTTCGAGGCAGTCGGTGGTTAGCCATACGTAACACAAGTCTCAACCACCTAAACTAATGATGTTTCACTACTTCATCTATTGATCTGCTATTCTCACCTAGTACCTGTTTCCTAATAACAGCATTGCTTATAGGACTGTCCCATGATACACGAGCAAACACTGTAATACTGTAATAATCATTTTCCAAAATCACAATAATTTTTTCATATCAACCAAGTGTGTGAGTATTGTCGAAGTACTTCAATAAATACTTTTGAAAAATCTACTGCATTCTTTGTTTAGATCGATTGGAATTATTTATTTGACACATTATTCAATGAAACTGGATTTACAGCTTACAAAAGAGGTCAAATAGAAATTGCAGATGCATTCCTATTGCAATATCTTTGTGGACTACATCAAATACAATTGGAAACAGAAAAAGGCAAAAGGTATTGTTGGAAAGTCAAATTTCTTTCTGTTTCCTTATTTCTTCAAGTAATCAAAAGTTGTTAGGAGTGATCAAGTATGCTATTGTAAAGTAATCAATTGTAAACAAAGAATAAAAATCTCCTTGTTATATGTTAAAAAATAGTTTAGTTTGGAAAGTGGCAAAAATATTGATTTTGATCGATCTCTTTATTTTTCACATAACAAAATAACTAATTACATTTAAGTGAGTGAGATACATTTATGTAGATGACTTGATATAATGCATATAATCAGAGTAATTCAATTTGTCTGGGGGATTCACAAGTTAGCTAGTGTGCATATCGTACTACTTCACCCACGATAATGAAACTTTTGTGAACAGTACATGAAGTTAAGAGCTTTACAAAACATGTTCAGAATTAAGGTTATTTATAAGTATACAGTTGCACATCTACATTCAAATGAGTCTTTATCAAACTACTTCTTGTGTTTCGGAAGTAGGGCTTTCAACACATGTTTGTAGGTTTTCTGAAAGTATACTAGACATCCAATAACAGTTCACAGTTAAGAATGTATACTATTTTTATTGCCTTTAGTGACTGAACAACCTAATCCAAATTGAAATTTTCTAGTTTTTATAGCCGAGAAGCCAATATCATTAAATCCTATTAGTCTAAAGTCAACTAAATAAAACTGCCGACGAGAATAGGACTCGCGTTAGGAACTAACAAACTATGAATAATTAAAGTGATATATATGGGCTTCATAGAAATCAAATGACTAACCTTATCTATGCTGTTAGTTCTCGACAGATAAATCAACCAATATGACAACCGTGCATGAACAAATACATTCGTTTGAGCCAAAAACTTTGTCCTTTGATATGAGGAATTTCTATCTTGAATAACAGTTTTGTAATTATTAATAACTGAGTTTATTAATCTAACAATAATACTAACAGTAATGCTTTGTTTCAATTTTCAATGATTTTTTAAAGTGCACTCTATAACTTGGCCATTTTAAGTTTTATGGTAGAACAAACAATTCATTCGTTACAACGTAACAATATCGGTAATGCTCAAGTGATAAATCAAGGTAAATTTTAAACTATCACAAATTATTGTAATTACTTTGTTGGTATTCGTTTATTAAACATACAACCTTAATTGTCACTCATCGTTACATACATTACGTTCAGTTTGATTCATATAGAGGGATATGCACGTCATTAAGGCTTAAGGATATGACTTTTACTCTTCTTATTATTCTTATAAGTGTTGTGAAACGTTATATTATGATGAAGTATAACATGCATTTGAAAAAAATGTTGCAACTACAGTGCAATTATATGATTATTGATTATTGTGAGCTGAAGAGAGTTATGAAATTTATGTATAAGTGGACGGTGAATAAGATGACGAGCATCATTGTTGAATGTTACATACATTACTGTTGATCAAATAGTTCGCTTTGTGTTATATGACATAGCTTGTGTTATATCACAGCTAGCCAAATCATATAACTGTTTAGAAAACAATTAGTCCCTTTTGTTAATTTTGACAGAACAGTGAGAAGAAGAAAAATGTGACATATTTGCGCCATACACATTTCGAACAATCTGGTCACACACATGCATAAATGTCAAGGCATTTAATATGAAGATTAAATAAAAGGTCACTCAAATCGAAGTTCAAATAGACATAAGGTGATGATTGTAAATATAAAAGAGAGAAAATTAACGTAAAACGGAAAAAATAAGAAAGGGTATGATAGTTGTCACACTACCCTGGGCTTGAAGATGTGTTTTGAGATCGATGAACATGGTTTTCATTTCTCACGCTAATTGAAAAGACTAAGCTCACGATTTCACATAGACTTAAACGTTGCTCAAGTGATTACATCATATCCCACTGCATTTATCAATTTATATGTTTGTGTGGACACACTATACATAGGGAGGAGTAATCAAACTTCGCAATCAGGGGTTATGGAACATGTACATAAGTGGTTTCAAAATCAATTTAACTTCAGATGAACTGATTAGCTTGAGAAATAGGAACCCTTGTTCATCGATCGCAAAACACATAATTGAGACAGAACATAAGATTGACATCAAGACAGCCTTGAAAACATTTTATAGAAATGTTGAAGGATGAATTTTGAGGATTAGGGAGGCCGTGGCTATTCGAAAATTAAAACCACCCTTATGTCTACAGAAACAATTTGTCATAACCTTGAATTTACACTGGTAATCGTTAAGCCTAGGGTTATGTGACAATTTTCCTACCCTTTCTTATTCTTATTCTTTCGATACTATGTTAATTTTCTCGCTCACCTTTATTTACAGTCATCACCTTATGTCTATTTGAACTTAGATTTAATTGACCTTTTATTCATCTTCATATTAAATGCCTTGACAAGTAAATATGTGTGAGAAGATTGTATATGTATATATATGTATGTGTTTAGCACAAATATATCACGTTTTTCAGATCAATTACGTTTTCTCACTGTTCTACCAAAATTCATATTACTGTCCATTTCGTAGTTACACTCAATAATTCAGTTAGCGAATTCATGATTCTTTACTTTACTTTTCGCACTCTTGTACAACGAAATACAGTGGATCAGACAATCGATTCATTTGATTACCTTACAACGTGTCTTTCACTTTATTTTTTTCTCAATAGGTAGTCCTATGTACTTCTCACCCTATTGTATGGAACGAGTGAAAACCGTGTTTCCGTGGACACTTGAAAAATACTACCTGTCTTCACATATAGTACAATATGACCAAACTCAGGTTAGATTTTATTCATCGGTCAACATTATTAGCTATATAAACAACAGTTACTCATTTCAACTGAACACTAAAAAGTAAATCTGTCACACAAAATCAATTGTGTTACACCATTTCAAATAACTGATACTGAATATCATTTCATTCATTGATTACAACATTGTTTGAAAACACTGGAAACACAAAACACTTTTACTTACTTGCGCACGCCTGTTATTCTCAACAGAATATCGGTCACCGGTCAGCGTACTTCAACTTACTCTCTCGTTCCACTCTAGTTTTATGCAATCTATGTTTCTTTCTTCTCATATCCTTCTTCGAAACTGGGCACCATGTGTTCCTTGGTCTTCGCCTTTGGGCTTGGGGATTTCAAATGAGAGTTTATCTTGTGAATCAGTTAGATGCTTATCTCGACGACTTTACTGTGAACCCCAAGCACTTCACCTTGACTTCTTACTCTCCTTAAATCCAGTCTGATCTATTCCGCAGCAAGTTGATGCAGATGGACAAAGCCATGTTATTCACTTACACGTTTGATGCAGATTTTCAGGTTTGACCGAATGCTGAAACCAGTAGCCAGACATCAGTGCACCAGCGTAATTTGAAACCCACTTCTAGAGGTCATGAAGAATTTTACGCAGTCAGTCAGTCAGTTAGTTGCAACGTAGAACTTCGTACGTATGTACATAAGTTCAGGTTACCACACCACATTAGCACAGAGACGCAGATGTCAAATCAAATCCCATTTTGATTGAGATAGTAGAGGTATTAATTGTTATGAAGAAGACTAGCGTTTGAAGATATTATTCAAGTGAGATATTATTCAGTGAGATAAGGTTAGAAAGACAAATGTAGAGGTGCTGACGAATCCAGAAAATTGGGATTTGAGAGAGCACAACGAATGGAAGCACCTGCACCATTGCAAACGATTTTTAGCCATGTCGTTCAAGGTCACTAACCGTCGTTGACTTTCGTCTCACGGACCGCAACCAGATAGTCTACATCTACCAACATGACTCACTCCACCTGTCAGTGACTTCATGGATTTCTGCCATGTTTTGGTTTGGCCGCCCCTAGCTTTCTTCCAACCCACTCCTACACCAGAAAACATAGCTCGTCGCGACAGTCGGTGGTTAGGCATTCATAACACACGTCCGAACCACCTCAACTGATGAAGTTCCACTACTTCATCTACTGACATACCATCCATACTTAGTAATCGTTTCCTAACGACAGCATTGCTTACTCGGTTGTCCCACGATATACGAGCAACGCTTCTAAGACATCTATGTTCGAAAACTAGTAACCGACGACCATCTTCTACTCTTAATGGCCATGTTTCGCATCAATATAGGAGAACGGAGCGAACTGCCGCGCAGTACACCCGTCTTTTGGTTAGCGATCGGATATCTCGATCGCTGAAAACATATTCGTTGCACTAATAACTACCTTCTTATCTGACAAACAGTCTTAAATCAGAGACAAACTTGGTCAAAATATATGCATTTAAGGTATATTGGATGGTCTAAATGACAATGAACGCGATTGTTCAACTAATGAACACGAATGACTTTCAGTTAGAAGACTGAACTAATACGTCTCCCGAAACCGGCTAAATACTGACCTCAAGTAACATATATATTTTGAAATAACATTTAAATAATGCTTAATTAAATCATACTTTCTTATTTAAAGGTCTGGCAATTAGTTAGCGAAGTTAGAGATACAATAATTGAGGCTATTACACAAGCCACATGGTTGGACAGCGATACAAAACAATTTGCTAAAGAAAAGGTTAGCATAATTTTTCAATTGTTTTCATTGATTCATGACGATTGAATAAATGTTTTAGATTCAGAAAATCAGATCTTTCGTCTTATACTCTGATATGAATGAATCGGAAAGAAGAGAGAATATTTCAGCAATATATAATGTGAGTTTGTTGCAGACAAAAACATTGTTTCATCAAAATAGATTTGTGTCGGATTGTGTACGAGTTAAAGTGTTTTTCATTGTTTGTATTAACTCAACATTTTTTGATCCCGTGTTAAAGTAGGTCATGTGGAGGAACTCACCTGAGTATCTGTCGCTGATGTACGTGTTCACACATATATACAAAAACGTGAGCTGTGGATTAGGGTGACTACAATAATTCTTAGATTGTGTGTACGAAAAGATTATTGTAAAAGTTCATATGATCAAACGCAGTTAAGGAGCATAAAACTAAGATTTTACCGGCGCTTGCGAATTACACGTTTCCGATAGCAGTCTAAGTAATCTCAGTTACGGATGACATTAAAATTATTCATACAAATATCTCAACTCACCTGCGATCTCATTTTCGACAACACGTACAAATATGTGCGTGTCACCTGTGTTGCAAAAGTGCTTTTGTTGATTTCTTATAATTCAATTATCTGAATCTATTCTGTCCATGCGAATCATTGAATTTCAGTATCGTATGAACTCGTCAAACTATCTTTTAAACGAATATTATGCTCAAAAAGCCCTCTATTCAGACAAATCGAAGATAGGATTCGGAATGTTTGGTACAAAGTAAGTCATTATTTCGAAAGGTTATTAAAAATTTGTAGTTTATTGATTCTTGTGAGGTATTCGGTGTGTATTGCCAAAATTCTAAAACATAGATTATCTATGATTCTCCTTGATTTGTGACAAGGACAATGAAAATCGTGGCAAGAATTTTTGCATAAGGAAAATGCATCAAAGCGTACAGGAATTTACCCATCTTTATAAATAATTGCACGCTGATATGAGTTACAATTAACACTTAACTTACAGCGGTAAAACACATTGAATGACAACAGGACTAAAAATCACATCATACTTAAGTCGTTTTTTGCAGTGAATAAATATGTTACACCCGAACGTAAACATTTCAACTTGATATACTTGAAATATTACTAGTTTACCTAGTCGGAAAGCGAGAGCGAAGATCGCGGATCCGGGGACACGACATGCTACTCAAATCAGATTATCCCAACCCCCATATTGAGTCAAAAATAAGAAGACTTCAAATGAAGTACAACCGGTATTCTACAAGCATCCAGAAGTACGAGGTCCGAATCCAGAAGAGAATCACCATCCTGTACAAGGAATCAGGGACCGAGACCTGGTCATAAAAGGTTACAGATAATGCGTATTTATACATTTTGGTTGAATAGGAAACAGCATCGAAGTCTGTGACATTGACAATTAAGACGATCAATAGGAATCAACATTTGAAGTGACACTGATAGTCAGGACAACCAATAAGAAATAACACTATAGCAAGTGACACTGATATCTAGGACGACCATAAAATTGAACAGCAGTAGGAATTAACCAATAGGAATTGACCAATAATTCTCTTAGGATATTAGATGAATATCCCAACAAAATATGAAGTATATTAATCTGATTAAATTTCACACTACGAAACAATTTAACATATAATTATTGTGCTCACAATTAAATCAATAGGTCACAGGCTCATATACCAACTTATTTGTCAGAAGCATTTTATAGAGGAGATGTTAACACCATATACATTTTGGCTGGATTGATACAATCACCATTCTATGAAAAGAATGAGGAGAAATTTATTAAATTCACAGGATTAGGTTGGATTATCGCTCATGAATTATTACACACTATCGATATAATGGGTAAATTGAATTTTTTGAAGTCTATTTATCACGCACGCATTATTGTCGTTTTATGTTTAATTAATGAAATTTTGGACGCCAACAGAATATCGTAACAGCACCCACTAGTGACTCTCTTCGTGAGGGAGTTCTTGGAGTTCTAGTTGAGAAGACGTGACCAATGGAGTTCAACCCTGTCGGCTGTAGGCAGTAACTACCAAAGACAAGTGGGTGAGGTCGCGCAAAATCCCTAGATCAATCAGAGTTAGGCATTCGTGCACAATACCGAAGGTCCCGGGTTCGAATCCTGCGAAGTGCAGGAGTCGTGGATGCGCACTACTGATGAGTCCCAGGTTTCTAATGGTGGTCTTACAATGTGTAGAATTCATTATGCTGAAAATTTATGTTATCATGTTGATTATTTTCTAGTCTTGATCAAAATATGTGTATTTCTAAATTATGGAAAGTAAAAAAAGTCTAGTATTCTGAACAAACTTATTTCAGTTACTGAAATCAAAACGAACTATAAACAACGTCAGCTAATAAAACTCTATAAATGTTTGATTTTAAAATAGTTTAACAAGGAATATACTATTTAGATTTAGTTTGATAGCTAATATTTTCACCTTAGTAGGCTTCTCACCAATCATTGATTTATGACCTCTCATGAAGGACAATATTCAAGGACATCAGCAAATAGAGGACATTATCACTGAAAGTCTGTTAATGCATGTTTCATCAAGTCAATTGTGTATGTGAAAGGAAATTAACGATAAGTAAAAATGACTTTGTCTATTGTCAACCAATGATAAACTGCGCCTAAATATTTTAACGTGACATAATGAATCTGCGGTGTGCAAATTATCACTAGTTGTGTGACGGTTAGTAACCAACCAATTCATAAGCTTCGCAATTAGCTCTTCCAGATATTCGTTACTAAATAGTGTCTGACGGTTTATTATTCAGAAAGGTAAACTTGAAGTGTTGAATACGTTTATTTCGACAAACCACATAAATGACTCACTAGCCCTCTACACTTCGCTTTTTCCATCCATTCACTGATTCGCTCGCCTGCTTTATTTCCGGTGCTCGCATGACGGTTTGATCTTTGAGTGCTGGTAGTCTGCTGATCCATAATTTTGGTGTGTCAAAATAAACGTATTGAACACTTCAAATTCATCTTTTAATTTATGAACCGTCAGACACTATTTAGTAAAGACTGTCTGGATGAGCTAATTACGTAGCCTAAGAACAAGTTGAATGCCAACCGTCACGAAACTAGTGTAACATTACTCACCATAAATCTCTCTTTCATATTGGTATGCTATTCATTACCTCTTATGTTAAATATCAGGTATTCTCACTGATGAAATCGGGAATCTACGGCCAAGTCAAGATTCTGAAGCAGGACTCATTGCAATTATGAAACAAATCGATTGCCTACGAGATCATTACAAGTTTCATTCTGATACGTATGAAAAGGTGAGTATTTCATAACACTCAAGTAAGAACAGTTATGCTAGTTACTGGGACACAATTATTGAACAACGTTTTCGGAGTGGACCAACTGATGAACGTTTACTTCGGAAGATTTCAAATTCCGTCACATTCATCTAAAATTCCGAACGTTACAACAATTAAACTCTAATTAGGATTTTCTAACAGATGGTGTATATTTATATTAAAATGCTGGCATCGGGAATTATGTTCGAAACTTCCACTTCTCCAGTAATGAAATAAATTTCATTAGGTTTATGGAACAAACAAGAAAATTCGCATTTTACCTGTGTCTTCATTGAACCATAGCTAATGTAGAAGGTTTATCATAGTGTCCAGTACTGAACATAGTAATTTGCATTAACAGGTACCTAGGTAAGAGGATCTGTATCTTATAAACACTCAAAAGTTTGATTTCCATGTTTTGCTCGAAGTTTGCTGGAAGTACTATGAATCTCTATATTGGAATGCAAGTTTCAGGGCTTTGAAAAAGCAAATCATCGACCATACAGATATTTAGCAGTGTAGTTCAAAATTCTCGTGAAGGCCTGTGATTGAGGTAACTATACAGTTGAATGTACGAAGTTAATGTAGGACTCGAATTGAGGTTTGAATTGAGGAATAACTGTCTAGATTGTTGCGATACGCGTCTTGACCAGTTGAAATCGGAACAAGTGATTTGGGTGAATAACGGTTCTATATAATATACGTCATAAATATAAATTTACATCACTACCTAAACAAATATTACTAATCAGTTATTCCACCAACAATTGTTCAATTAATAAAATCAACAGCAACAAATAAATGATATTTTATCCCTCTTGAATAGATCAGATTCATTCGACAGATCATATTTGGCTGCTGTATAACACAGGCTGTTTCCTATTCTGCGAAATTGCTTCAATTCACAATCAAAATGCACAGTTGCAGTCAGAGTAAGCAACACAATCCAATCAAAAGAGGAACAAATCAATATGGCTGTCACCATGACTAAGTATCAGCTTAAAAAACCTAAATGCAGTTCAGAAAGAAACATAGAAACTCAGTAAAGGCATAAGAAACAGAAACTATAATAAAATACAAATATTATCATCTCAAAAATGGAATCGAACAGATTGGCAAAATTTACAACGGAAGGAATCAATAAGGTGAAATTACAAATGTATACAACATGGAGGGACTTTCACAAACAAAGCCTTCAAAAATGGATCTTACTTTTAGCTTTATGAGGAAAAATTATTTTACCAAGAGGATTAATGAACAATGTTATGTCTCCTTGTTGCTTCCATTAAGTGTGATATTCAGTGATTGAAACGAAGAACAACCGTTCACTTAAACTTTCAATAAGATGAAAACTGTCCCATTCAGATTTCCTTTTATACTATTATATAGTCTAAACATTTTTGACATCGATTCATATGTCGTCATGGCAAATCCTTTGATAACATTAAAATATTTCACCTAACCATATAAATATATGATTCACAAAAAAAGAGATATTTATAGTTTAGTAATTTTTCAGCTAGATGGAAGATTTATGAGCTCAGGTGAATTATTCGATAATCTAAAACGTCGATTATAATACTCTGTTTTCTCCAAATCAACAAATTTAGAGCAGCAGGATTGGAACACAGGATGAAATTTTGGCTGACAATGGAGGTTTGAAAATAATGTACGATGTAAGTGAGCAAAATTAAAAGTTCATAGTTTTTTTCTTGATTAAAAGACACTGTATAAGATGCATTCGAGCGAAGTCAGATTTCACTGTGTGACCATTCACGGTACTGCATAAATATTTGTATCAACATTGCAGGTGGACACTTCAGTTCAAAGTTTAAACAGTGGTCAGGAGTTATAAAATCCAGTGAATAAAGTTGAGTGCTCCTTAGCGTTTTATTCGAAATCAGAATCGCAAATATCTATTTTCTGCAGTTACAACAATAAATGTCGAGTCACAGATCAATTATCGATTTCAGTTACGTTATGAGGTTGTGTGATAGTAATCCCCTATCATCAGTCTCTTAACATCTTGCTCATAGCATGCTCAACTTCAAAACACTGATTCACAATCAGAACTCTGAAAATCAGTTAAAGAGAAAATTTACTTTCTGAACTCACTTCTCTCTACTGAACTAGTATTTTTACCAATTGGAAATGTGATTTGTTAGCAGTTCACTAGTGAAATAATAAATGGTGAAAGTTACTAAGATAAATATTTCAGCGAAATTCTGGAATAATACAAGAAGGGCAAATGAATAACAAAATATTGACTCCGGCTGTTAAGGTCAACCTCCATTAACAGTCAGTATCTCGCTTTCATCACAGTATATTTTGTTTGACTGTTTCAATCACTTTTCAGACATATCGAAGAGTGCTAACTCGACAACATGTTCACAGTGAAAGTGAAATCTTATCATCCGACAGATCGTTTTTCTTGAAATTTGCACAGGTAGGTGTTGATAAACATGAACTGTTATTTTGTATGCACGATGCATTTTATCAATTACATGCTTGAGACTTCTCGGTCAAGTTAAAATGATGTCTATGAAATTTATACCGTTCACTTATTCTACATAGTATTTATGTTCCTTTGAATTGCCATTCGATAATTGACAGTCTTTCTGATAAAGTTATTGTTTTACTATGCTTGTGAGCACAGATTTCGCGGATGAATTGATTGATTATAATGAACTTCACATGCTTTGATTCAAAATTTCGATAACAAGCGTTATCAAACAGCTGTTACCAATTAAATCAAAAATAGATCAATGTCAGGTCACAATTAGTAACCTTGATGCTTTGGACAGCCGTTTCCTCTTAGTATCGAACTCTTTAGTAGCGTGCATTCGAGACCATGCATACGGCAGTCGAATTCATGACCTTCATTCTCACTCGCAAACGCTTATCCTCTAGACCATTGAGACGGTATCGAAAAATGTAAATTTTTGCTTCAACCAACCTACGATATTGTGTGACTTCATCCATTATCTTAGATGGGTAAGTGCCTCAGACGCGATTGGACTGAACTTCACTGGTCAGGCTACCGTGGTTCATTTATGGATCGTATAATTTATGATGCTAACAATTAGGCATGACTAACTAGTTATTGTCAAGAAATAAGTTGAACATACTTTGAGCGAAATAAGAAATATGCACACACAATTAAGAAGAACAACAAAGATTATGAGCTGTTAGCCGAGAAAGTCAAAGGACATGTGAATACTGAACAAGCCATTATGGCTACATGTAATAGTTCACATTACATATTTTGAGTGTTGATGAAACGTCGAATCGCACAATATGTAATAATCATTTGACAATGAGAAATCTATCAGTTTTGCATCGAACAACCTGGCGATGCCAGTATTTCTTCCTGAGTGAATTAAGGGTGGGAAAAGTATTCAGTTATCATTATTGTTGTGACTTCGTTTGCTATTGCATTTTTATACCTGCACTTGTTAAGTAATACATATTCCATTTTTTAGCTTGAGGCCAGTAGGTTAAAAGTTCGTAGAATGAGCCGCATATAGTTCTGACTTCATTGACGTACTATAACATAACTATTCATCTGTCACTTTGAAAACATTTTCTGCGTAGGTCTATTTGGGTGATCTGTGAGGTAGCATTATTCTATGAGATATTCATAAACACTTGTCTTTTTTTCATTAGGTTATCAGAATCCATGTAAATGGTCCAAATCCCTAGTGAAAAACAACACCTTCTGGAATTTTCAGTCTTTCTAACCTTATCTCACTGAATTATACTTCTTGAATAATATCTTCAAACCTTAGTCTTCTTCATTACCATTAATACCTCTACTATCTCTATCACTTGAGATATGATTTGACATTTGCGTCCCTGTGCTAATGTGGTATGGCAATATAAACTTATGTGCATACGTACGAAGTTCTGCGTTGCAACTCACTGACTGAATTTTCAGCCTACATCACGTCAGTGGCGGAGCGGATGCAATCATTTGCATGGTCTTCCTCAGAGAGCGCGTTTGACAGATATTGTACTGCTTGTCGGAGACGTGGATATGCTGGTCAGGCGTACAGTGACTGATAGTCAAATCACAGCGATTGTCTGCTGCAACTCTGCGCAGACTTCGATCTGTTTCGGGCTAGTGACAACTATGGACACACTCTACCCCTATGTGCTCCATAGCGTCATGCCTCCTTATCTTCAGCCTAGAACAACACTAATTATTTTGTGACCAACTGACTTCAACCACAATCCACAAGATATTGTGTGACTTCATCCATTGCCTTAGGTGAGTAAGCGCCTCACACCTGAACTTCACCGGTCATGTTACTAGTATTTGCTAGTTGATACAATGATTAATAATGTCAACAATAATATATATTATGTCATAAAATGAACCTTTAAATATGTGCTTGTAGATTACATAACATTTTGTATTCTGTTTAATTAAAATATACAGGCTATGTGTGGCAATGTCCGTGATGAAGTATATCAGTACTACCAAAATAACTTTCCTCATTTACTTCATGAATACAGGTAAGCTTCTGTAATTTGTCAGACATGTTTCATAACTGCTCAAAGTAATATTTGGAATTATATCTGATATCTAAAATAAAATTATTTTATTACTTCGGGTGAGAAGTGATAACCGAAATAGTTGCAGCACTATTCAGCTACTGAGCATACTAACAATGAACGTATTCTTGTCTTTCAGGGTAATTGGACCTTTGTCAAATAGTGAAGCATTCGCTCAAGCGTATAACTGTCCAACTGGTTCACCAATGAATCCTTCAAGGAAATGTAACCTGTGGTGAAATCCGCTGAAAACAAATGCCAGCTAGAATATATCCTTATGGATCTTCTGTATTTTTTTAAAAATTGTAGATTAGTTTTAACTGTTACGGTAACATAATAATGACGTAACCTTTGTAATTCAATTTAATGGTAATAAAATATTTAACATTTTAACAAAAATACACTGTAGTGTGTCAATTTACTGCGTGTTCTTAAGCTCATTAATTAGCTCGTCTAGATAATGGTTACTAATTAGTATCTGACGGTTTATAAATCAGAAGTAGAACTCATAGTACTGAATACGTTTATTTGGGACACACCACAGAGAGAAGCGGAGAATCAGCGAATAAAACGAAAGAAGCGACGTGAGTTGGAGAAGGCTGTTGAGCCAACTCCCAAGATTACAGTGCGAACGAATAGGCAAAAGAAGCGAATGAACAGGTGAAGGGCGTTGGAGAAGGCTAATGAGCTAACTCCACGAGATAGAGCATGACTAAGAATATATAATCAGACAAAAAATAAGACAGGCATGTGACAAGCAAGATAGGCTTGCACACACATGAATAAAAGTGACGAATGGTTGACAAGGTCAAAGGACAAGTGGAACACGTCATGTTAGCTCAAACAAACTAGACAATAATAAGAACGAATGATACATATAAGTTGTTGCTAACCAAATGCTCTGGTTGAATAAATCAATCGAAAGGGCTTAACCAAGTCAGATGTAAGCGAACTGAGACATATGTGAAGACACTACACTGTAATGAATTCAGCCGAATGTGAGCGTGGAAAAGTTCATAGGAGGTTTTGTGAGTCTTTGAAACATCAAAGTACTATCATTCTTTTACAGAACTATGAGAATACAGATGAAAACACTAGTAAACGATTAAATCAATTAACAATCCTTTCAAATTACTGTATAACAAAAATGGAATAGATTACAATGTATTATAGCACTAGCCTTTTGTTTCGAAATCGTCTAATTACAACTGGATCTAGGTTTACTCATTATCGTTTAATAACCCTAAGTTAAGCAACACTTTATCTGCTGTCTAACTTATCAAATTGAAATCAATAAAACTAGTGAGTAAGCAAAACCATAAGGACATCATTAACAGATTTTTTGTGGGTAATGTATGCTGTCTTCTACGTTGCCTTCATTGAGTCAAGTAATATATATATCTAGAACAATCTATCTACTTCGCGTCTTAGCCGAAAACGAACAGTCATAATGTAGATTGTGGCATGGACAACAACTAAATAATAAAAAAAACAGTACTATTTTCGGACAGAGTTTTGGAGATTTGTGTTTATACACATTTGAAATCATCAATCAATCATTGTTAGACCACCATTAGAAACCTGGAAGGTCTGAACAGCTGTTTCGTCCTAGTATGGGACTGATCAGAGGCAGTGGGCATCCACGACTCCTACACCTCGCAAGATTCCAACCCAGGACCTTCGGTATTGTGCGCGAACGCCTAGCCATCGGATCACTTGACCTGCATCCAACGGTGTTAATGTCTAACTCTGATTGATCAAGGGATTTTGTGTGACCTCACCCATTTGTCTTTGGCAGTTACTGCCTACACCCGACAGGGTTGAACTCCATTGGTTATGTCTTCTCAACCACAACTCCGAGAACTTATTCACGAAGATAGTCAATAGTGAGCACTGTTACGATATTTTCGGACAGAGTTTTGGAGGTTTGTGTTTTTACACATTTGAAATCATCAATCAATAGTATTATTACTTGTCAGAGGAATCGGTAACATTATAGAATAAAGAGCATATGATCTAGTTCGAAATGTGAATGAAAATCGTCGTAGAAAACGATGAGTGTTTGCTGTAAGTTGAACATCACATGAAGCGTATGTATAATGCTAAATATTTATAAGTAATATCAAGTACTTGCAGTACCTTTCTACACATATTATTAATATATTTACTCGCAGATATCGTCCAAACACCTTCCTATCTTACCTATTTATCGCCTTACTCATGAATTTTTGACACTATTTTTTTTCTTTGTATTCGTTCAGCTGTCGATCCTTCCTAACTTCGAACTACATATTAACTGACCATTAGTTAACTTGATAGAAGTGTGATATGCTATACACATATATAGTCCAGCATACAGAATCAAAAGTTGTCTGGTTTGCTTGAAACAAGTGTAACACGCGTAATCAGCAGTCAGTGAAAGGCAGAGGAAATCTAAAATCACAACACACAGGAACACAAGGTTGTTGTCACGGCAAAATCAAAAACGCGGGGTTTTTTACAGGAATAGGGTGGGTGTAGTACCAATGTCTTATGAGTCATCTTGTAGGTACAGAGCACGCAGGGCTTGCTCTTGCATTTGTGTTTGATCGCCCTGAAACAGAAAGAAAACAGAACAAGTTAGCAACATCATACATAGTGATTTTGACTCCGTTACACCACCCCCTCTCCCAATGAGGCACTGTCCTCAGTGCCCGGTCTCGGACAAGGATATGCTGCTCCTCCTTCAGCCGGTATCTCATAAAAACTAGTAGCAGGTGGTGGGTCTGTGAACCGGGAATCAGCAGGTACTGTTGTCCGATCTGGCTTTATTTGATTGTAGTGCACCGTTATTACATCGTCCTGAGGTTGTTGTGGATTACGTAACACAAACGTCGTGGGGGATCGGATGAGGAAGATTTCGAAGGGCCCATGCCAAGGCTGGTGGAATTTACTGCAACTCCATGTTAATGTCATGGGGCGGCGTAACCAGACACGGTCTCAAACTTTATACACCGGTCCTTGCACTTGGCGATCATACATATCTTTTTGATGGCCGCTAGCCCTGCGCGAGTTGACGTTGACTAAACGGTATGCATCAGCCAGGCGGTTACGGAGAGTGCGGATGTACGGAACATGTTCTTGTAAAGGCGACTGAATCTCAACCGGGAAGCGTAGCTCATGCCCGAATATTAGAATAGCAGGTGAGAATCCCGTAGACCCATGTACCGATGTTCGATAAGCTAGCATGCATTGAGGGAGCACCTCGTCCCACAACTCAGATGACGATCTGCTGACGAACGATTGTAAAATAGCTTTAATGGTTCTATTTGTCCTCTCAACTAGGCCGTTACCTTCTGGATGATATGCGATAGTATGCGTCTTCCGTATTCCCAATAGCTTGCATATTTCGGCAATGAGATGACTTTCGAAGACCGGACCTTGGTCGGCATGGAGTGAGAATGGGGCGCCATAACGGGAAGCCCAATGATCAATGATAGCCCGTGAGACAGTTAGGGCGTCTTGTTGTGGAATGGGTACTGCTTCGCACCATTCTATGAAATAGTCTACCATAACTAATATGTAACGATTTCCGTTCTTCGTCGTCGTCAATGGTCCCATAATATCAATACCAACGCGCTGGTGCGGTCCAGTCGTTCTCATCGGCATTAACTGTGCGCGTGGTGTTTGCTTGGGCGATTTTATACGGCAGCACGTGTTGCGGTTTTCGCAGAAGTCGGTTACATCTTCATGAATAGACAGCCACCAAAAGCGCTGGCGAACAGCATACTCAGTTCTTCGTTCTCCTGCATGGCCGAGTTCACGATGAACTTGCTCTACAATACTCTGTGTCTTTACTTGCGGTACTATAAGCAGGGGTTGTCTGGACTCATTAATTAGGAATAGCGTGTTACCATATAGTTTTAACCTGCTCCATTTGTTACAAATCCGACGCGTGGCGAGGGGTTGGTCTCTTAACTCATTCATGGACGGCCTATTGTTCCCGTGCAATTGTCTTTGGTAAATAATCTGCAAATCTGGAACTGCTGCTTGCACTGAGGACCAGTCAGTTTCTGTTGACGTACTCAGAATTGCAGCAACGGTATCTGTGGACAAGGGGAGGCGAGAGAGTGCATCTGCATTGGCATGTCTATTCCCCGGACGGTACTCGTACGTGAAGTCAAATTCTTGCAGTCGTTCCTGCCAGCGTGCTACTTGTCCCTCTGGTTCGCGAAAAGATCGAAGCCACTGTAATGCACGGTGATCCGTGCGCACGTGGAAAGGTCTACCCAGTAGATAATGACAGAAGTGTAGAATCTTTTTTGAATGTTTTGTTTTTTGGAAAATCCCTCCATGTTTATATATATTTGTTATGACATGACGGACTCTTTCTGTTGACATTTTGGTATTTTATTTGATTCCAATTTGAGACTTTATCATTGTATATTGTTAGTATTTCTATATTTTGTACTTACATTGAAGTTTTATGTTTGCTTCTGAACTGTACATATGTTGTTTAAATTTGATATAATATGGCTACAGCCACATTTTTGGATTTGATATCGTGCGGTATACGAGTTCACCTAGTCTCGGGAACCTTGATACTCATTCAGAGTAATTTTGAATTGGAAGACGTAAAATTTGTTAGGTAACGTTTGTATTTCCATTTATTCTCTAACAATAGACCACTTACTCCTAGAATTATTGTGTTCTGATATTGGACTAGGAGAGGCGTGCGTATAACATACGTCTATTGGAATCGAATTGAACCGCTACGGTAGAAAATCCAATTACAGGAAGTGCCGTAAGAATTTCTCGACGCGTTGTGGGATACCGTGTCTCACAATTGTCTAGTCCTCGGCTGGCGTAAGCTATGACTCTCTCCAGGCCATCTCGGGCTATTTATGAAAGAACTGCTCCCATAGCGTCAAGGTATTCTATCAGGTTTTCTCCTGGCTTCTGGTGACGAAACAAAAACTGCATTGTCACCTGCTGTTTATCGACAGATAGTGAAAAACAATCGTCTAATATCTTCCAGTTTCGGGGTAAAGAATTGGCTGTTGAGAAGCAAGTGGAGAAAGTGCACTCCTACAACCTGTACGAAGACAGGAGCTAAGACTAAGACTTTAATAAAAACCTACCACTGAACGCGAGAGTGCCGAACATGACAAAAAAGTGATGAAAGATCAACGATGTGATCACTTACTCAGGGAACGTCACATTAACCATCTCAACATGGCTTCATTAGAACTAGGTTGTG